GGGGGGGGGGGGTCCGGCCTAAAGCCGTGTAAGGGGCCCCAAAATTTCTGATGGCTGCCCTGAATGTGTTCCTTACATGTCACAATAAACAGCCACAGAATCGTTTATCAAAAAAGCTTCACCTTTTATTGTTATAAAACAGTCCTTGAGCTCCAGTCTGGGAACTTGGTCTTGGCTGAGATGACATCATCATCTGTAGGCAGGAGAAAGCATTTATCTTGATGTTACTTTTCTTTTCCAGGATAGTGGTGTACGGGCAGGAATTGGTACGGTCGGTGAAAACTGCCGGAATTTACAATTTTACAAATGAGCTGGGACTCACAGAGGCGGAGGTATGGAATGAAGATAAGGAGACTTCTATGGCTTGATGAGAACTATAAAGTCTCTCAAGAGGAATAATGTTTTAATATTGTATAGGGTGCAGAAAGGTTAGATTGTCTGAAACCTCTCACACCCTGTCCATGAAGTGAGGAAATCTCCTCAATGAGGACATAGGGAGCCTTAAAACCAGTTATAGGTTCCAGCCTTAAGGGCTTGTTCACACCAAATCCGGATCCACATGAGTATCTGCACGTTCCGGACCATTTTTTTTTTGTTAGCCTAAAATGGGCTTTCAGGTGTAGTCCAGTGTGTTCCAGGGCATTTGCATGTGTTTTTGATGCATTTACATGCATTTTGGTGTGTTCCAGAGCAGAAAAAATAGGGCATGCTGCAGTTTTTTCACGTGCTCTGGAACTGAACGCTGTGGTGTGAACTAGAGCCCAAAATAGCATTGGAATACATTTATGCTTTCTGTAACTGCTCTGTGTATGTATAAAGTCACTCGCACTACAATGGAATTTATACATGCACTTATTTTGGATTGCAGAGGCATCTGCAGTCACTTTGGCACCCACCCTGACTCTAAGGGTATTATTCGGTCAGGAGTGTGATGGGTACACTGGATTTTGGACTGCAACTGCTCTGTTCCGCACTTGGTGTGAACAAGCCCTTACCTGTTTCATTTCAAATACACCTTTTAGGGCCGGTTCACACCACAGAGTCTGCATTCCAGAGCGTTTAGCCTCTGGAACGCAAGCCGGTCAGCTCCCTGCGTTTAGGGGCGGGAGGGGGCGTGGCGATTAATTCAATGGCACCGCAGCAATGCCCCCTGCCTGCAGTGTGATCACCCGCACCTGGAACACAGGCATGTTAGTGCCCGCATTCTGGTGCAGTGCCATCTGCAAAAATAGTGCTTGCATTATTTTTGCAGATTGCACTGGACCGGAACGCAGGCACTAATCTGCCTGCGTTCCAGGTTAAGTAGTTGAAAGGTCAGCTTTAACTCCACCAACATATGTGTGTCTTGAATGGCTATACGGTGTATTTTTTGTCTCCTGTGAACCCTAACAGTGAACGCTGTTTTTTTTTTTTTTTTGCAGGACCTTGGCAGATCTTAATGTGAAGTTTGGTAGCACTCAAACATTGCTTCCATCTGTTACACTCATTGTTCTGAGTGTCTTTACTGCTGGAGCAACAAAAACTTTATATTGAGGGTAAAGGGAAAAGTCCAAAAAAATGGAAACCACTTACTGCAGATGTAAAACTCCATCTTCTGATGCTGTTTTATGCTACACTTCTCTCATTGAGTGTAATATATTTGTGCAATATGTATCTTTGTGCTTCAGAGCATGTCCTGACCTGCATCAGCAGCAAACTCACACAACTCTTTTAACCATTGATGTGTACAGCTCTCTCCTCTATTTGATTATTGTATTTTTATATAGTGCTTGTCTAGCTCTCACTATCCAAGAATGTACCACTGTCCCTGGATTGCTAGTCTTCTGAACCTGGTTCATCTCTTTAACAGCAAAACCAGCTTAACAAAGGATAAGGACAACATCAAAAATAGATCATGCGGCCTGATTTAAATGTTTGTGAGAAACGTATTGGGACTTTCGATAACTTGTGTCCCAAGGAAATTGCCTAGGTGGCTTTATTGATGAATTGGTCCAGTTGCAAAGACTCCATTGTTAGTTGCCTTTTTTTAGAGCCTTCTCTCCACAATTCATATCTGGATTTTTTGGCACCTGCATTCTTCTGTTCCTACAGTCTTCACATGCTCTTCAAGTGCAATAACACAAGTGTACTCAGGAATGTTAGTTGCCATTTGAACCCCAAATCACCACCTTCACTACCTCTTCTCCAAGTGCTTCTTAATCCAGGTGCTTCTTCAATATCAGGAATAATGGGATTAGAACAGAAATATTCTGTAGCATTAATGCTTTCTCATACAGTTATGTATAAGGTCTTATATTTTGCTCCTAATATTGTGTACTGCTGATAAAAATGCTGTCTTTGTGCTGTCTTTAACTGACAGCCAGGAGGTATGGTTTCCACCTCCTCTAGGGGCATCTATCATGCTCCACAGAAAGCTTGACCCTGTTGTTGGTGGATCTAATAAGCCAAGTTCATGAATGAATACTAAACAATGCACAAATGCCAGAGTTAGCACTTGAGGTCTACTTACCTTTATTTCTAAAGTTTCCATCCTTGAGTAGGCAAATATTTTGTAACTGGCTCATACAATTTAGGCAGCTAATATTTTTATACGTTTCTGATAAGAGAAGAGCAGAGGGGTATGTGGTTGTAATATCATGTGCTTGAATTGTATATAGATGTACAGTACTAACACATTTTATCAAACTTTTAAGGGTTGGGCCACCCAAGAGTGATATTTAACTACAGGTAAAATCTGGTGGGCTGAATCTTCTTATGGTTTTGTACGTGTCTTAACCACTCTTTGGGGAGAATGTCCCCTCTTTGACATCCCCTCTAATTCTTGGCACTTTCTCTGCTACAGTGTTCTTTTCCATAAAAGCTTAATATTTTTTTTGTCTGTGAACATAGAGCTGATTTCTTTTACAGAATCATAGTGTAGGGATATACCAATACTAGTATTTGGGCGAGTATTCGTACTCGCCCAAATGCTCCGATGCCTAGCCTGATACCCGAACCTCCAGCATTAGGATGCTGGGCAGCGAGTCATTATACATTGCCTGACTTCCTGATGAGGGAGCATGGAGACAGCTTTCCGGCCAATCAGGAAGCTGGGCAGCGTGTAATGACTCTCTGCCCAGCTTCCTGATTTGTTGGGAAGATGGCCAATGAGGAAACCGGACGGTGAGTCATTACCCGTTCCCAGCTTCCTCATTGGCCAAAAAGCCGGCTCCATGCTTCCTCGTCACCTGGTGACGAAGAAGCATGGAGATGGCTTCCCTGCTATTCGGGAAGCCAGGTGGCGAGTCTTTACACGCCACCTGGCTTCCTTTAATGGGACTTCCAGTATCAGTATTCGGTATGAGCGAATACCAAAGAAAAAATATTGGTACTCGTACTTGATACCAATAAAACGGTATTGGTGCATCTCTATTATAGTGGTTTATTAATATGCATATTAGCAAATTCCAGTCTGGCTCTTTTATGTTTCTCTTTCTACAGTGGAGTCCACATGGGTCATCTTCCATTAAGTTTACTGGCTCACGGATGTACCTTGACCCTGAATTTCAGCATGTTTATTTTTGGAAATTTTCCTTTATCTAGCTTTTGCACTATGCTTTTATTAAATCTAGGGTCGATATTCCTTGTGCGGCCACATTCAGGGAGGTTGGCTACACTTCCGGAACTTAAACCTTATAATATTTGCCACTGTAGTCACAGGAACACCAAACTGCTTGGAGATGGTCTCGTAACCTTTCCATTTGACATGTTGATTTCTCTGGTCAATGTTCAGTGTGGTGCACACGATGGCGCTACAGACTAGAGTGACTGCTTTCTCCATTTAAATAGGTTGACTGACTGATGGCATGATTGAAGACATGTGTCATACTAATTACAGAAAACATTTCATTTAAAATATCACTATGATCCTGCTATTTATAGTAATTTCTAGGGGTGCCAACAAATATGTCTAGGCCATTTTACACTTTCTTTGCTTTACGCTATGTCATACCAAAGGCAGGCATGAGACAATTGCTTTTAATTTCATCATTGTTCAGGAAGAATAAAGCATTGTTTCAAAGCGTTGTAAGGGTACCAACAAATGTGCCCATGTCTGTATGTAATAGATTACAGTCCAGCTCTAACCAAACCTTTTTGTTTGCTTTGTGTAAGCCCCGATGGTTTTATTTTTTATTATTTCCCCCTTGGGGAGGTACCCCTTCACTTGACTATGTGATCAGGGTCAGGGGGACAGAAAAAAAGAATTGGAAATCTCTCCACATTGGGTCAGGAAAAAATACTCTTTTTAAAGCACAGGGGTAAGGTTAAAGAACTTCTATGAGTTTTCTATTGCATTTGGTGTCTTCCTGTCTATGTGTTCCCTTGTTGCCCTGGGTGTCCCTGGGTTAAACTTTTTTTTTAAAGTTTTACAGCTTGCATTAAGGTCAAATTACTGTTAGACAGAATTATTTATGTATGGATGTCATAATAGTTTTTTTTTCTGTGTAATTCTCATTAAATCACTGTTATTATTTGATTTTTTTTTTAAATACAATTATATCTTTAAAAGTGTGTCTGAAAACAATTAAATAAAGCTCCAGAAAGTCATTCTTGATAACAATTTGAAATAAAATGCATTACTTTGTTACTTTGTTGTTATTGTGTTACACGGTGTATTAATGTTTCCACCAACGGCATGTCTATCCATTGATCAATCTAGTAAATTAAACTGGATGTAGTGGATTCCTACAGATAAAAGCTGATAGAAAGCAACAGAAGTGCCTACTGTACAGCCAGTACAGTGTAACATCAGGAATCCCACTATGATGGAGGGCCCATAACAAATGCCCACTCAGCCTTCCAACTACTGAAGTGAGAGCACAAACTACCGTGTTTCCCCGAAAATAAGACACTGTCTTATATTTTTTGGGGCTCAAAAAAACACACTAGGTCTTATTTTCGGGATAGGTCTTATTTTTTGTTTTTTTATGTACAACAATCCACACTTATTCATGTACAAAAATATGGTGATCAGGGCAATCAGGGGTGCCGTACATTTCCAAGAGCAATTTACTAACCAATCGCTGGCCAGAATGAGCGAAGCGCACTTTCACTATCGATTCCTCACAGGCGGAGTGCATTTGGTATCACTCCGTCTGTGACAAGAGCCGGCGCTATAGAGAAGGCATCGGCTTATGCGGCTCTGCTCCCGTCTGTGCTGCCTTGCTTCCTCTAGCGCCGGCTTTGTTGGCACCGCTGATTCTCTCCTGCCTCTCCCACGGCTCTTCAAGTTCCCCCTTATGCCACCACTGGCCCTGGGAATGGTCACAACTAGGTCTTATTTTCGGGATAGGTCTTATATTTTAACAATTCCCAAAAATAGTACTAGGTCTTATTTTTGGGGTAGGTCTTATTTTCGGGGAAACAGGGTATATGAAAATCATCATTGCTAACATAACAATGATTGCCTATAACCAATTATTTTAGTACAGTGGTGTTGTAAGCTCAGTGAAAGATGATTGGTGCTGAAGTTATTTGCTCTTTGAACATTGATTAAACTGTTGGGAAAATAACCCTTTGCATTAAGGAGATGTAGCAAAGTGCAAGGCTTTAAAGTATATTACATTTTCATACAGGATTTTTATAACCACTACGGTGTGTTTATTTATTGGGGTTGAAGGACAATTTAGCTTCTAGGTAGTTGCCACGTGCTTGTCATGAGGCAGACCTCATGGGACAATTATTTTTAAAAAAAATGTTGTACATTGCAGAATGGTCCTCTTGCAGGCTGCAGCCTTGTGTATTGTCCGTTCTCTTATGTTCCAGAGCCTGCTGACCCAGCACTGACACAGCAGGCAACTTTCTGTCCTCTGTTCACAGACCTCCTGTGTGTGTGTATATGAACCTGTTACTTCTGAACATTAACAAAATCAACTGCTCATTCATCATCCACTGACTTGGCGTTTGTCCCGTCTAATCCTCTGGCAGCCTGAGATTCAATATCAAGGACCTTATATCAATGAATTACTCTCCGGTCTTATAGCTTTTTTGGAGCTACTAACATTTTCAGGAAATATTGTACTGGTTCTTCAGTGAGTCGAGTACATTCTTTGGTGTTCAAAACATCTGCTGGACTGTTACATTAGAAACTTACTAAGGATCACATTTTTACTATTATTCTGAACATTGTTGCCTTTTTAGATCATCTCCTGCTCCTGTTTCCTTCCGGTATTTGTGGCATCATTCATGTTTACTCATCTTTTGGTCTTAGAGTCCTAAATTATCTACTGTGTGGTTTCTTCAACCTCTGGATTTGCTGAATCTATTCCTCTGGATCGCCATAACATCTACTGTGGTGGTACTTCATCTATCCTTCTAGGATACTAATATTTCATGCTGTGCTGATAAGCCAGAATATTCATCAGAATTTCAGCAATACTTATTCTTCCATATACCAGAGACCCATTCTGTAACTTTGGCTTCTTTTGAATAGAGATAGTACCTACTGTGACTTATTTCTAGCTCCAACACCCTTCTGGGCTCAATATTTCTGCACTAATTCCACCAATCCATCATTTACTAAAATAATACCAGCAAAGTGTTTTTGATTTAGCAACATGATGATAGTGTTGTAATGGATATTCAGTAGTTTGGTTCCTTTGGACTTCCTCAGCTACCTATTCCTTAACAAGAAGGCATTCTCACCTACACAGGTCAAGTGAGATGAGACCATATCCTGCTAAGAGGTAAGCGCTCTTTATTCATCAGAACCAGCTCCAAATATCAAAGTGAAGTCAAAATGGTGTGTTAGATTGTACGTTCTGTTGTTTTGACAGCTACATGATGAAAACTCCTGCCCTTCTACTTTTCTTGCTGGGTCTGCATGTCTCTGCAGCTACTTTCAAGATCTGTGCTTTTAACATCAAGAGTTTTGGAGAGGCTAAAGCATCCAACAAGAAGATAATGGATGCCTTGGTAAAGGTGGGTAATTGTAACTGGATATGAAAATATTCATTAGCTCGCCATGGGAAAATATATTATGTACAAGTAAAGAACAGTAATTCCACTGTGCTTATTCACTTTTTTATTTAGATTATAAAGTTATAGGAGTTGATGGTTCTTGAAGAGGACTTAGCTGACCAGACACTAAAATCTTCTACAATTGTCCTAACATTTACCAACAACTATACAGTGCACAATGATTTGATATACTATGTAATTGCTGGTTACTCTAAAGGAGATTGTACAGAGCTGGTAAAATAAGATTTCAACAAGTGTGGCCAGCTAAAAGTTGACGGTAAAGCTTACAGAAATACTCTGTGTAGATTGCTGGATATGCAGGATTGGAGCCAAAGAACTTCATATGATTGCAAGCTCTGCTTTTAGATCTGTATCATGTACCAAAAGGGCTGTTACATATGAAGTGGAAGAGCTTCAGCAGTAGAAGATTCTTTTATTTTACAATTAATGATCTCTGGATGTTCTTTTTAGAGCAAAATACTAGTGTATACACAAACATTATCCGGTTGTCTTGCTATGAAACAAATGCGCTTTTTTTTTAAAACAGATTCTGGCTCGCTGTGACATCAGTGCCATCCAAGAGGTCAGAGATTCGAAGGGAGAAGCTGTCCCAGCTCTTGTGTCTGAACTCAACCGGTACCACAAGTGCATGCTGAGAATATATGTGACATTGTTCCTCTCTGTTAATTGATGTCCACTCTATACCTTTTCCTTTATTCTTTTTATTTATTTTTCTTCCTCTCCATCCCTTTATTAGGTTTCAAAGATCCTGGTGTATAACATAAGCTGGTGATACACCTTGGGCTGCACTAGAGCTCCTAGAGTGCTAATGAGAAAAGCAATTGCCTGTACTCGTCAGCGCCATCTAGGGGTATACTGTTGTGTAAACAGCATCCTCCTTGCTATTTGCCAGACAGAACTTTTATAAATAGTCCCATTTGTTATTGTGGCGTATGCTAATACAGTATGCTTTCTCAACATTTTTGTGCTGCAGGGTCTCAAAATCCTCCACAAAACTTTGGACGCAAAAAAATCCATATGATTTTCCTTTTCTTTAGGTATGACGCCGTCCATCGATACAAACATGTGGAGAGTAAAAGATTGGGAAAGAACACCTACAAAGAGCAGTTTGTCTTTATCTACAGGTATGGTAGAAGAAAACATTTCCTTAAAACAAATTCCAACCAAAAGTTTTTTCTTCTTTTTAGATTTGGTTAAAATAAGGCAGGATTATACTCTAGGTTTTTATTGCCCATCTGGGTGATTTTCCTTCACTCCCTGTCCCAGAATTATGACAGTGTGAGTGGAAATCTCCCCAAAGTAAAGGAAAATGTCAACGTTGACGTTTGTTACCTGAACAGATAGCCCATCTGGAAGATTTCCCTTCACCTCCTGTTTCAGTGACAACTGTAACATGTTGGGGGGAATTTACCAAAGCTGGAGCAGACAAAATCTGGAGCAGTTGCCCAGGGCAACCAATCAGCTTCTTTCTTCAGTCTGTTCAGCTAAGATTTGAAAATGAAAGAGAGAAGCTGATTGGTTGCCATGCACAGCTGCTCCAGCTTTTTTCTGCTCCAGTTTTGATAAATTCCCCTTGTTGTGTTCATTTTCTATCTCAATAACAAAAGTCACTGTGACAAATGATGAGTGGATCTTGTTTGGGGACACAGATGCAGCATTTTTACTTTTCTACCCAAAAGTAAAAGTGCCCAAAAACAAATGCAATGAAAGCGTAAACCCCATTCTAAATATCCTTGCTGGTATCACCTTTAAGTAAATCTATCACGTTCAGCTAAAACCACATCAAAACAATTTGGAGATCAGTGATATAGGCAGCTGAAATTATACAGAAATAAACATTACCTCCCTATTGGCCAATTATACCACCTATCATGTTAAAGGACGGGGGGTTCAGGGGATACAAGTGGGTGGTGCCAACTTTCACTATTACAGGGAAAGTCCATATTTACACACGCAGGTGCATATATTTATGGATCTACTCATAATTTTTACTTGAAATTTTCCCAGATGACCTCTGCTTAAGTATTCTTCTACGAAATGCCATTTTTTTGTATTGTATTTTTAAAATCACAGCGATAGCATACTGAAACCGGCCCCTATGTGATACACTCTAAACTAATTGATAAATGTGATAATAACAGTGAAAATGTTAAATGTGTGAAAGGAAATTTTCTTTTTTAGTTCCCCAGATCTGTAAAAGGTTCAGTTTAATACAATCTGGTTTTGACAAACATTTTAAAACTGTTAGATAAAGATAGTAAGGTCATGTAGTGCGATCTCTGTCCTGGACTTATTTATAATGGTTAGGGGTGCACGCAAGTGATACAATGATCAAAAAATATGCATTATGATGTGCAACTATTGGCTTTCTGTAGATGTGTAATTGTCTTCACCTTGAGTTGTAACTATGGCTCTCCTTACATGGCAGATCTGACTTGGTGAAGGTGGTCGACTGGTATCAGTATGTGGAGGATCATCCAGATCACCCCGAGGCCTTTGCAAGAGAACCATTCGTTGTCCGCTTTCACTCGCCTAGGACAGGTCGGTTGTGGTTATTGATGTTTGCAGTATCAGGGTAGAGCAGGCACTGTTGGCACTATATAAATCCTGTATTATAATAATAATAAACTCAAATGAAACAGCAGGGTGCACATAGGGAAATTCATTCTCAAGGTGCCACATTATGTCTACTAACGATCACACACCCATAAAACACAAATCAATGAGAGGCAACTTTGCATGCTTATAAGAACTCCAGGCCATTAAAGCTCTCATGCAAATTAGGCAACAGACTGCCCCCAAGTACTGCATTCGGGCAGTTGCAGGTTCAAAGGCTTTTCAAATTGGTATTGCATCCTGATGATCAATTCCATGTAAATGCTTCACATGTTCTTTGTGACAGTTATCAAAGACTTTGCCCTGATGTCTCATCACACCTGCCCGAGAGAAGCAGCTAAGGAGATCAACCGTCTCCTTCAGGTCATGTTGGAGGTGAAGAGTCGCTGGAGAATGGAGGTAGGCATGGAGAACTTTTGTTATAGAGGACAGATATTGCTCAATGACCAGTCATACGGGCAAACACACCCTAGAAGCAGTTTGGGTGGAAGTTTATAATACTACCCGTATGCCAATGAAAGGCATAAACAACGTACATTTTCTCTGGTCTTAGAATGTTATGCTTCTCGGGGATCTAAACGCAGCTTGCGGCTATGTGACAAATGAGGAATGGAAGAATATACAGTTGCGGAGCAGTAATACATTCCACTGGCTGATCGGTGATAAAGACGACACAACAGTGAACACTAAAACGCATTGTGCCTATGATCGGTAAATACAGGGAGGGGAGAGGAGGGTTTATGCTGGTCCTTGAAGATTTGTAATAACCCCATGCCTTTATATTTACAAAGTATCGTTGTACATGGAGAAGAATTTCTCAAAGCGATTATACCAGGATCTGCCAAACCATTCAACTTCCAGAAGAAACTAGGGCTCGCCGAAGAGGAGGTAAGAGGGGCTCTTGCCGGGTTTCATCATAAATGTGAAGCAAATTTTCATTACACAGTGTATATGTAAAATAGGGCTGTTACTGATTAAAATTTTCGTGTTCGATTAATAGAAAACATTTTTAATCGATTAATTATAACGCACAGAGCACAGAGCACAGCAATGAAGTAATGAAGTAATGAAGTAATGAAGTAATAAAATGAACTAGGATCACACTAATCCAGCACGTTATAAATCTCACGTGCCCCACTCAATATGGCCGCCGCTTGAGTGGGGCAACTCAGAATAATAACGTGCTGGATTAGTGTGATCCTAGTTCATTTTATTACTTCATTGCTGTGCTGTATGTGTATAGGCCAATGCCTTGGCTGGCGCTCGTGCAGAAAGTTTCTTGGGCAAACTCACCGGCCCAAGTGGCTCAGTCGGCTAACGAAGAGAAGGGGGAGGAGTCCAGTGACGTCACGGACATCGACGTCACCGGACTCCTTCCCTTCATTAGCCGACGGAGCCCCTTGGGGAATGGGGGAGGAGTGCGGTGACATCACCGGATCTCCGACAGGACTACCGGAAGTCGGTGGAGAGGTATTTTCATTAGTGATCAAAAAAATTTTAATCAAAAAGATTAACGATTAATCGAGAAATTTATCGTTAATTTGCACAGCCCTAATGTAAAGTAATAATTTTCAGTCCTATGAACCCTAGGCAGCTACAGAGGCAATGAACAGGGAAACATCAGCTTCAGGGACACTATCCTAGTTCTTACAGAAACACTTCAAGCTACAGCTAGAAAAACCAGAGTCTAAATCCAGCTAGCGTCAAACCCATGTCCATGCACTCTCTGCGGCGCATAGAACAGTTCTAAAAATATTTTTAATGAACTAGTCATTAAAAAATATTATAGCCACCAACACTGACATTCTGACAATAGTTGGCTGGCTGTTCCTGGTATCAGCAGCAAGGGAAATACAAACATGGAGCAAGCCTGTAAATCAGGAAAATAGGATTTTTGTACTCACCGTAAAATCCTTTTCTCTCCGTTCATCACCCTGGAGCCGGTCCGACCAATGAAGGAGAGAGAGAAAAGTTCCAACACATTTATCGACAGACGGGACTCCTCCGGCGACCAACGACCCTGCACTGTCAAGGAGCCCAAGACCCCGCCCCAGCCCCAAAGGCTGGCGGCCGTGGTGTGCAGCTCCCCCTCCTCCTCGGATTCCCCCGACAAGGCAGGGGACGGCAAAGTTAGGGCCCGCTTCTTAGGTGCTGCTTCAAGGCACGCTCCATGCGCGTCACAAACCCATCCATGACAGAGGAAAAGGCTTCCAGGGACAACGCGGTACCACCCACCCCCCCAGCAGTAAAAAGATTCTTCAGGGAAAATTTAGCTCCTTACTCCTGACGCTAGGCAAAAAACTGGAGACTTGTCAGCAAGTGAGGGGTTGGGCCACCAGCAGGGGCCGCCCCTAGGCTGTCTTGTCTTTTTGTTATGTGCCTAGCGTCCTACTCCTGCAGGTGGCGATATACCCTACCATTCAGGATCTACGATCTGTTGCCCTGTGTCCTTCAATGAACGGGAGAGAAAGTCAGTAAGCTAGCACCTTTAGACCAAGGATTGGTTCCTCAATGTTTCTTGAGCTGCCAATCAATCAAAACATGCATAAAAAGAATGCCACCTTGGTGTGAACTGGGCCTGAGGCCAGAAACAGCAGCTAGCTAGGACTTTCCTTCAGCTATATCAATCCTATGTTTGAGTGCAAGTTTCATGGAATGTTGTTAGAATGCCAAATACCTGCAAGTAGGCCCCTAGCAAGGCCCCCTAAGGCAGATCAATGTCAAGTAAAGAACACAAATCCTAAAAGGTTTTCTTCTTCACAGGCTCTGGAGGTCAGTGACCACTTCCCAGTGGAGGTCAACCTCAGGACAGACCCAAGAATGGACAGAGAACTATAACCATTTCATACCAAGATTCCAATAAACTTTGTACATTTTGCTGATCAGTCATTACATTACATCTTATCACATTCCAGTCTATGTTCTATTGACCAAACTACTTCGACGTTTAGAAAGCAGAAGGCAAGTCACTCAGATAAAACCTACTTTCAATGCCCAGAGCTGCAGTGCATTAAACCAATTACTGGGAAGCAGGACAACTGACATTTAAACGACAACACTGGTTCGGAAAACAATTTGCCGTTTTACTGGTCCCGGGTGTATTGAGACACCCAGCAAGTCTTGTGGGCATTCTTACCTCCTACAAGGCTTAGTTCTGGAAACCCTTTCCTTGCCATATATCAAGAGTAGTCAAATGTCAGCCTTCCCCTATAATAAAACTACAAATACCATTAGACACTGCAAGACACAGGCATGAATCCCCAAGGCAAATGGATGATGGGATTTGTATATTTAGATTTGTGACTAGCCCTCCATGGTCTATACAGACATTCATTGCTTACCTGCTTTGCGACCACTTGCACTTATGACTGACCTTACGTGTCAGCACGACATCTCGCCAGCGGAAGTGATGTCCTCCGTTCTTCACTGCAGGTCCCAGTAAGTATTTTATTGCCCGATGTACAGTGCGCTGTTCAGTACTGTACTAATGCAGTATGGTATAGAGTTCTTAACTTCGCAACCAATTCATTTAACTACCTGGTCGTATGAACGGAACTCTGTCGTTAAGTGAGGAATACCTGTAATATATTCAAGCACTTGACCATAACAGATCAGCAGCTACGGCTACCGAGCTTCCACTCCTCACAGCAGCTGATAAACTAGTTATGGGTTGCTGGACACAGCTGAGGTATGCAGCAATCCTGTTGATTTGTCCTGCATGGAAGTGGGGACGACAATCTGACGTTTAAAATTGTATTAAAAGCAGAACCCTGGGGTCAAAAAAATGCTTAGCCCCAAACGCAAGGGTTAAGTGCTTGTCTAGGTTCAAAAAAAGTTACTCAACTGATCCTCTGAGGCAGCTGGCTCTTAGATCCATCCCTTCGGCCTCCGCTGCAGTGGTCTAAGGGCCTGTTCACATGATATCAGGTCCTGATCTGCAGACTGATGCAGTGTTTTTTTTTTGCTGGAGTGGGGCTGTTAGTATGTTAGTTACAGACAAAATGTGACATGCAGTATTCTTTCTATCGTAAGCTGAACGGACTGTGCACGTGAGAACTGGAGCCCATAAAACACATAAGGATACATTTTGAGTGCAGCAGCGTACGGAGCCGGTCAGCACACAAAACAGACGTCGTGTGAACAGGCCCTAAGGATACTCAGTCATCACGTTCTATAGTGTATAGGACGAAAGGACAAGGGACATCACTGCACAAGAAACCGGATCCAAAACAAGTATAACTTTCTTTTAACCTATAGACAAATGAGCACTTAACCCTTGCAGTGCAGGGGTTAAGGCTGGGTTCACACCTAGGCGTATCAAATATGCGCATTTGTCACACGAATCGCAGTAAAAAACCCATCTGAGGGCTACTTGGCTGTATCCCAATGGAAACTTGCAACAAAAACGCCATAAAGAAGCTCCTGTACTTTGTGCGTAGGGCGTTTTGCAGCGTGTTCATAGGGCCTGTAATACGCCCAGGAGTGAACCATACCCATAGGAAATAATGGGATTTTCTGAGTGTTTTGCAGAGCGTAGGAACGCGCTACAAAACACCCAGGTGTGAACCAGGCCAAGAGTTTTCCCCCAGAATAGTTCTTTAGAAGCACATTGGGGAAAACTTACTAAAACTGGAGCAGACAGAATCTGGAACAGCCGTGTATAGCAACTAATCAGCTTTTCCAGTTAAGCTTTGAAAAAGAAAACTAGAAGCCGACTGCTTGCTGGGGGAACTGATTCAGTCCTGCTAAATTATCCTTATTGTGTTAAGGCAGCTCACTCCTTAGAATGTCATCCATATTATTATTTTTAAGCACACAAGTGCTTTGGCAAGGTGCCATTAAAAATGGAAAGCACCGCGGCACACCAACACTGACGAAATGGGATATGAACTGTATCACTTCTCACAGGATACAGAATTTGTTGCAAGTTAAAACACAAGTTTCTTCCAGTAACAGCACTTTGTTAGAAACTTGGCCTAAAAGTGACCTTTGTAGGGTTATGAAGATATTGTAGGGGAATTTAAGTCTCAAAAGATATCAGCAGACAAATGCAACTAACCAATGTCCACACAAGTAATTTTGGGTGGAGTTGGCCTTAATTGGGTGCATCAGTCACACTGCATGAAGGGGATGGGAAGACAAATGCATCACTTATCTGCTCTGGGGTCATCCTGAACCTAGTCTCAGGTCATACCAGTTTACTAACCAGGCAAGCATGCATTAAAGGGATGGGACACCTAATATGCACAGGCTTGTGCTAGAAAATGTAAATTCATAAAGGATAAATAAATAAAAATGTAATCAAGTTTGTTTTTTTAAACATACAGCCTCATGTGGTGAAGCTATACAGAAGACACATTGTGCCTGAAAACTTTATTGATACAAGATCTCAAAGTACATAGGCCAGATACAAGTGGGGCGCTCATTCAGCATGCAGTGACTTCCATTTTTCCAGGGGACCTCGGTTAGGGATGTACTTGACACCACAGCCATCGGGAACAAGACGTTTCTCAGCCACCATGTTCTCAAAGTCTTCAAAGTTGAACTTTGTGAATCCCCACTTCTTGGAAATGTGAATCTGGAGAAGATTAGGGACAAAACTGAGTAGCAGTAATAAATGCTAAAATTATAGAACAATTAAAAGCTGAATATTCTAGTAACATGTCTGAAGGTTCTCATTCATCCAGGTCATGGAATATCTGTGAAAAATAAGGCAACTGGACTTGCTGTATTTTTCTTGAAGATGTTTCACTGGCCATCCAACCAGCTTTCTCAATTCAGAATGACTTGTACAAGAGAATTTTCCCAGAGAATATTGTACAAGTCATTCTGAATGGAGAAAGCTGGATGGATGGCCAGTGAAACGTCTTCAAGAAAAGTACAGAAAGTCCAGTTGCCTTGACTTATTTTTTAGATATTCTAGTAACACTCCCTGCAATGGACCAACCTTACCCAGAAGCAACTTCTAAACAGACCATGTCAATGTAGTTGAAGTGGAACTCCAAATAGTAAAGGTTTAGAAGCAGTTTATTGAGGTCTGCATTCTCATGGGGGAATTTACATTTCCTATACGCTCATCAGGACAGAAGCACACTGTTCCCAAATGGGACATGAGGAAACCTGAAGATCTAACACCCCTTCCCCCCCTTTAACAAAAAGCTTGTACTGAAGATCCAGAGTATGAAAAACCTAATTTTTAACCCTTTCTCACAGGGTAGAGCTTTAAACACTTGCCGTCTGCCCGTTGTAAAAAAACAGACGGACGGCACTGCAGCATTGGTGGGTTGCCGTCTCCAGACAGCATTTTTTTCTGCGGGCGCGCACGGGCAGAAATGACCCGACCAATGCACCAATCCGTTACCGGGTGTTTCACATAGACGATCGGCGGCTCATTAGCCCGCCGATCGTCTATATGCCCTCGTTTTTTTCTGCTGCCCCATCTGCGGCCCGGGAGGGCGTCAGGAGGAAGAGCGATCAGCTCCTTCCTGATCTCCCTCTGGGCTGTGAATGCAGAGGTGATGTGCATTACATCACTTCCGCATTCACCTGTCAGTCATCTGGCTGCTATAGCCAGAGAGAAGAAGCTGATAAAGCAGATCTCTGCTTCATCAGCTTCTTTTGGGGTCCATAGGTGATATTAGGGGTCCTAGAGACCCCTAATATCTCCATAAAGAGGACCTGTCAGTGTGCCTTTGCTATTATATAGGGGGTTGTTATCCCCCTATATAATAGCAATAACAATAAGTGCAAAAAAAAAAATATAAATAAAAAAAAAGAAAAGTAACACATAAAAAAATAAAATAAAATAAAAGCCACATATAAAAAAAGGGGAAAAAACCCCCCCAAAATGTTTAACTCCCCCACCCCCACGTTTACGCGCCTATAAACGTAAATACGCGTCCGGTGCCCCAGCGCGCAAAAATTACAATTGCGCTACACATGTTACAACATGTTGCATATCGCCGCGAATGTCGCAGTGTGAGCAATTTTAAGGCCATCACCGATAACACTAAAATGAGCGGTAAAAGCTTTTAAAGCGTCGCCTATGGCCAATTTTGGGTATTATCGTTTTTTTTTTAGGTTTCGCGCACGCAATTTTAAGGCTTGACATGTTTGGTGTCTTTTTACCCGACGTGACCCCGTCTTTTATATTTTACCAAAAAATTGGGTAATAAATGTTTTATCATTTAATATAGGGGGAACTGTTTTTTTAATTTCGGTAATTTTTCCTTAATATAGTAAAAAATAAAACCCGTAGTGGTGAATACCAAAAGAAAGCTCTATCTGTCACTAAAAAATGGTATAAAATAAAATTAATTTCAGTACAGCGCTGCATGACGGAGTAAATGTCAAAGTACCGTAGCGCTGAATACTGAAAAATGGCCTGGATGGGAAGGGGGTTTAACACCGCGGATGTCAAATGGCTAAGCAAATAATTTTTGTGAATTTGTTGCAAGTTAAACACAAGTTTCTTCCAGTAACAGCACTTTGTTAGAGGCAGACAACAATGCCCTGCAAATCAGCATGGTCAGCCACCATTTTGTAACTCCCCCTTAAGCTGGCCACCGGGATGCCCATAAGGTTTATCAAAGGGGCAGTCCTACAGGCAACTGAGAGTGCAAATGGCAGGCTGCCAATTGCAAGGCAGCAGCTCCATGTGGGTCAGCCTGTAACAGAAGCACCATTACCAACAGGATTTCCAGGTATTAAAAAAAAAAGAAGAAAAACAAATAACAGCTATACAGCCTTGGATGCCACAAAAACAAAACAATAAGCTAGTCGAGTTACACATTAACTGAACCAGAAGCCTAACTCAAAAATTAAAGACAGGCCAGGAC